CGAGAAGTTAGCCAAGTCCCGTACAACCCCTTACCACCCAGCGGGTAATGGGCAGTGCGAACGGTTTAACCGAACCCTCCATAACCTCCTCCGGACTCTGCCATCATCTCGGAAACGTGACTGGGCTGCATGCTTACCGCATGTGCTCTTTTGCTATAATAGCACGCCACATCAGGGCACTGGAGAGTCACCGTTTCTCTTGATGTTTGGCAGGGATCCTAGGCTGCCTATTGATTTCTTCTAGGCCGCGTTCAGGACCCAGTGCCTGGAGAGGTACAGGACTGGGTGGCCGAGCACCAAGCCAGGTTAATGGTGGCTTTTGAGGGAGCTCGGGCACGGTTGTCGCTGGCCGCTGACCGTCGTAAGGAGCGGCATGACCAGAGAGTCCACCCTGTCCCTTTAAAGGTCGGTCAGCTGGTGTATCTTCGAGATCACAGCGCCCGGGGCCGGCACAAGATCCAGGACCTTTGGAGCTCTGTGGTCTATCAGGTGTTGAGGGCACCCCAAGAGAACGGGGCTGTTTATACCATTGCCCCCGTGGGAGACTTGGAGAAGGTTCGACATGTCCATCGTGACATGTTAAAGGCACAGGTCAGCCTAGGGCCGCCTACACCTGGTCCACCGGTTCCACCCCCACCTGTACCCGCTGACTCAGAGCAGACCTCTCTGAGTGACGACGAGTTGTGGCTCCTTGTCCCTGAGGTACCCTCACACCCTGTCGCACCTGTGGTGTCACTTCCCGATGCCTCTAGAGTTCCATCGGTGGAGCTCAGGTCTACTCCCAGTGTGATTGTAGCACCCTCGACCTCTGCTCCCCCAGGTTCTTCCTCAGGCTCTGTTGAACAGTCTGAGGTGAGTGGGCCACATTTACGGAGAACAGCACGTTCAACAGCTGGTCATCACTCAAATGTTTATCACTTGCCACGTCCTGTTGAATCTGCGTCAGTTGCTAATGCTCAGCTTGCCATATTCAGGCCATGGTGTTAGGTTCCTTGAGTTATTGTCGGGGCGCCAATACAAAAAGGGGGGTAGATGTAGCCAGATGGGCTACTCGCCTTCCGTTTTGTTTGTTCTCTCATTCTCTCTCTCTCTCTCGCTCGCTCTACCACCCTCGCTCTCTTTCCACTGCACTCGCTCCTTGTATCAGGTGATCGGGTTAATTGGGAACCCACCTGCACATTGATTGCAGGGTGGCGCTAGCCTGTATAAAGCTAAGCCGATGTCTTGTTGAATTAATTCCTCCCGAGCTTCTGGTACGATACAGCAGTAAATGCTGGCGTACTGCGACGGACTGATCAGCAAGAGCCGATTATATGACAGCTACAGGTATGCTCTCGCTTAACCTCAGATTCCCTCCGAATACTGGAATTGGTGTTAATATCCTTTTCCGGCCTGTTGTAGCGCAGCAGTCTGTTTAATTCTGCCATTGCGGAGAGAGGTGTTCGTGGTATCTCCACCAATGAGAGTATAGTGCCTCCGGTCCTGGGGTAAGCCGTTAGAACTACTTTTATTAGCATTCATAGCTATAAGAGTTTAAGGTTACATTTATCTGTTTCAGGGTTCTGCTGTACTCACCTCTCCATGGTAAATTGTCCAACCTAAATTGGAAGAGTGGACTGCCTTCTCAGCTGCTGTTGGGAACTCCTCCTTGGTGGAGTCTGCTGTCTTGTCTTGTCTTGTCTTGTCTTGTCTTGTTTTGTCTTATCTTGTTTTTATTAAGTAGGCTTACCTTTTTTTGGGTTCGCCTGGTGTTTTATTTTACCCTGGGCTGTTGTTCGTACCCATACTTCTGTGATCGGGCTGAAGTGATTCTCTGCCCGAGTGTCGTGCTGGGACTCTAAATCACCTGGGTGGCCGGTCTCAGCCGGTGGGGAGCCAGACCGGCCTACGCCTGAGAATAATTATTACCAGCACGAGTGGTAGTTTGACCCGTGGGGAATAAGCCTTTCCCGTGTGTGTGTGTGTGTGTTAGATTTCTTTTATTAAAGTTATTAAGGTGTGTTTTAGTCTTTTTATGATTTGTAGCGAGCCTGACGCTCAGTGTCCTTTTATTCTTTTAACATACTTTTCTGTGTTTTATTTCAGTGAAGGAGGACGAGCCAGTGGCCCTGGGACCTCAGGTGGTGGGTCGTTTTCACACTTTCTTTTGTACAGCACTGGGTGGTCTGCAGTGATTCTTGTGGTGTGATTTTCTTTTGGTTCCACGGCTGCTGGTAAGTCCAAGTTCCACGATTGTTTATTTTTACTGTAGGACACTGTCAATAATGACGCTACATCTTGACTTTTAATATTTTATTTATAAAATATTATTTATAATATTTTATTCATTTCTATAAATAAAACTGTTTTAATATTGGAAGCCAACCTGCCTCAGTGTGCATCCTTGAATCTGTGCGGTCTTCTTTTATTCCTTTTCTTTATTTTTCTTAAATATATTTCCTGGGGGTGTAATTCCCCTAGGTGGCGTTGTCAAGTTTATTTATTTTGTTCATAACCCCGCCGACCACTTGGTCACATAAGTTATTAGAGTTGCCAACCGTCCCGTCTGGTATTCAGAGAAAATATTACGCGTTTCTTATTGAGGTGAAAAGGAACAGTTTGTCCCGTAATTCAGCTACAATGAAAAAGACACAAAGCTGGAGTTATTCTGTGTCTTTGCTGCACAGCTGCCTCTTCTTCTCTCATTCTCCCCCCTCCCTCTCCCGTTTCTACTTCAATCATGAAACTGATCAATGATCAGCTGATCGGCTCTCTTGTTTGTTTATCGCTCACTTTGCGCCGAAAGAGGAAACCAGCGGATGTCGCGCTAAACAACAGCAGCACGTTTAAGCTTGATCAGCTGTTGTTAGAATTTATTTAATATTAATTTCTAGTATCAGCTGATGTTTGCTGGAGCCACAGCTGCAAAAAAGCTGCTGGTCATGATATGGTTTGGTTATCTGGTGAGAGGGAAACATGAAGATGAAACCAGGAGATGTCCTTACTGAATCATCAGAGCTGAACAGGTGATGGAGAAACAGGTTTACCTTTTAGGTGACATGAATGAGTTGAAGGGAAGTTATGAACTGTTTCTGAGAGACAAATAACACCAGGATCCTTTTTTAGGTAGCTGACAGCTGGTAACTGTGCAGGGGGGTTTACAAACAGGAGCAGCTGATTAGCATTAGAAAAGCTGAAATAATACCTCAACTGAAGCCAATTGTACTAAATGCACTAAATGTGCACTGTTACAAGAATATTTTTCTTTCTATTGTTTTCTATTATTTTAAGTTAAGCAGGACAGAGTTCTTTTAAAGAAAGATTTACTTATATTCTCAAAAGTTAAGCATGACAGGCTTCTGTTTAAGAAAGAGACCTGTTTTATTGTGTTAATGTTGTCATTTTGAGCTAAAAATAAATGGCTAAATGATCATTTGTTTCACATGTGTTCATATCACAAAGAATATGCATCTACTTAAATCAACTTCAAGTCAAATGGTTAAAAAAATAATTTCACACACAAAAAAAGAGCTAGAAAATTCACCACACTGGGAAGGGTGAAGACAACTGGGGCCCTGGCCACGAGGTGTCCCTTATTTATTTTTCAGGGAGTTGGCAACCCTACTGGGGCATCTTTACACAGCCTGCACCTGGGGTCTTGCCTGGTGTGATAGACCCCAGCCTCTATGGATCTTGTGCTCAGAGCTTGTTCTTGTGCCGCCATGATTAGTGCCTCTGTGCTGTCTTTCAGTCCAGCTTTGTCCAGCCACTGGTAGGATTTCTGTATATACACTCAACAAAAATATAAACGCAACACCTTTGTTACTGCTCCCATTCCCCATGGGATGGACGTAGAGACCTAAAATTCATTCCAGATACACAATATAACCATCCCTCCCAAACAGTGGTCACAAATCAGTCCAAATGTGTGGTAGTGGGCACATCTGCTATATTGAGATAATCCATCCCACCTCACAGGTGTGCCACATCAGGATGCTGATCTGACATCATGAGTAGTGCACAGGTGTACCTCAGACTGCCCACAACAAAAGGCCACCCTGGAATGTGCAGTTTTTTGCGCTATTGGGGGTCTGGGGACCCAGAACCGGTCAGTATCTGGTGTGACCACCATTTGCCTCATGCAGTGCAACACATCGTCGCATGGAGTCTATCAGATTGTCAATTGTGGCCTGTGGAATGTTGGTCCACTCCACTTCAATGGCTGTGCGAGGTTGTTGGATATTCGTGGGAACTGGTACACGCTGTCGTATACGCCGGTCAAGCACATCCCGAACATGCTCAATGGGTGACATGTCCGGTGAGTATGCTGGCCATGCAAGAACTGGGACATTCTCAGCTGCCATCTGCCCTGAACAATGTGAACCATGATTCATCCGTGAAGCGCACACCTCTCCAACGTGCCAGACGCCATCGAATGTGAGCATTTGCCCACACAAGTCTGTTACGGCGACGAGCTGGAGTCAGGTCAAGACCCCGATGAGGACGACGGGCATGCAGTTGAGCGTCCCTGAGACGGTTTCTGACAGTTTGTGCAGAAATTGTTTGGTTGTGCAAACCAATTGTTCCAGCAGCTGTCTGGGTGGCTGGTCTCAGACGATCTTGGAGGTGAACCTGCTGGATGTGGAGGTCCTGGGCTGGTGTGGTTACACGAGGTCTGCGGTTGTGAGGCCGGTTGGATGTGCTGCCATATTCTCTGAAACGCCTGTGGAGACGGCTTATGGTTGAGAAATGAACATTCAATGCACGGGCGACAGATCTGGTTGACATTCCTGCTGTCAGCATGCCAATTGCACGCTCCCTCATTGCTTGTGGCATCTGTGGCATTTTGCTGTGAGACAAAACTGCACATTCCAGGGTGGCCTTTTGTTGTGGGCAGTCTGAGGTACACCTGTGCACTACTCATGATGTCAGATCAGCATCCTGATGTGGCACACCTGTGAGGTGGGATGGATTATCTCAATATAGCAGATGTGCCCACTACCACACATTTGGACTGATTTGTGACCACTGTTTGGGAGGGATGGTTATATTGTGTATCTGGAATGAATTTTAGGTCTCTACGTCCATCCCATGGGGAATGGGAGCAGTAACAAAGGTGTTGCGTTTATATTTTTGTTGAGTGTATATATAGCATACCTTGTGCCTCTATCAAGGGGGCTGCTAATGACAAAAGAAATCTCCGTTGACAAAAGAAATATATTATAATATATATATATATATATATATAATATACCACACACACAACACACACACAACACACTCTAGTCTTTCTAATAATTAAAAATGTTATACACAAAAATTCCTGTGTTTTTGGTTTTTGTTTGTTTGTTTTTTTGCATTAAAAAAAACCCAACACATTAAAAAACCCACACTTACACAGGAATTACAATCCTCAAAGCCAACCATTTTTGGACAGTTTCAATATTTTCTTTTTGGTGAACTGGTGTTCATTTTTGATAAATGTCTGCAATCTTTTTTTTTTTCATCTTAGTAAGACCATTGATTATTTTAAAATTAATTAGATCTATAACTCCTTTTTCTACAGATTTTACCATATATCGTTTGCCAATGAGATATTGCTTATTGTTTCAAATTAAATTATAAAGAATTTGGTTTATCTTTTTAAAGTTTCTGTTTGATACAGCTAAAATGCATGCTAGGTAAACAAGTCATTGGATTCCTTCCATCTTTATCAAAATTCTTCCAGAAATTAAGATACATTTCTAAAACCAGCCATTTTTTTTTTTAAATTCTTTTGTAAAACAGAATGAACATTATTACTTTCCACATCACTATCATTTTACAAACAGTTACCCCTAAATATTTTAGCATGTATTTAAGCAGAACATTATGAATAAACAACCCGTTCTCACTCCCGACGCGTGACAAATCGTCAGTATTTTACGCGTCGGGAGTGAGAACGGGTTGCAATAGTATTATCGCATGCAAATAATTATAAGGAACATGTCAGAGTAAACGCATCTAATATGATCCCACAGCACGCCAGAGCCCTGAAAGACATGGTTTGTTTCAGGATAATCTACGATAACAGCACATTGAAAACTGTGCTCAGAGAGCAGCCTATCGTGTAGAAAGCCACCCCGAGATGTTTCAGGCACAAGTTGTTGAAGGTGATCATGCCGATGAACACGATGGACAGCGGCAGGACCTCCCGGGAGGTCTTTAGTTCGAACCTGACCGAGGGGAAGTCGATGATTTGCGGGGAGATTTTTAATAGCAGCTGCATGAGCCAGTAAAGTGCAACAGTGACCATACACTGATAAAAAGTGACGAACAATGGCGCGTCCAAGTCTTTGTTGTCCAGCAGGTGACTATTGAGGAACACCATCGTTATCGAGACAAACCAGTATAGCGCAACCACAGCTGCTATTCTCACTGCTCGGAATACGAAAGTCTCTTCGGGTTCGTCCCGGTCCATCGTTTCAGAACCGCTCAAAGCCATTCTCAGGACAGGTATGGATTAGGAGATTAACCTGTACAGAGGCTTCGACACGTCTGTCGATACATCCAGGATGTTTTTAAATGAAGTGCCTTGCTTCCT